ATTTAATAATATAAATAATTCCGAAAATGGTTTAAAATATTTAGGGCTTAGAAAAACAATATGTGTATCAAATTAAAAAGAAAATTCTGTAGAGAAAGAACAGATTAAATTTTTTGGTGCATAAGGTATTGAAAATGTCCTTAAAAATTGTATCCTTGAATATCCTTGAAATTTTGCAATATATATTTTGAAAAAATTATATGTTAAGGACTGATATAAACTCGACAATGTTCTCGATTATAGTCCTTCTAACTTTATTAGCTTAAATAAATAAAATTGATTAAAAGGGCATTTCAATACCTGTTCGTACTTGTGAACCCGGAAAATTTTAATTTTTTTAAATCCTGCAGAATTTTCTCTTTCATTTGGTACCAATTTTTATTCTACGTTGCACTGAATTTTTTAAATAATTATTTAAAATTTATGATATCTTTGAAATTATAAAGTTCTAGTAGAAAAAATTTAAACTAAAAACGCAGTTTTCCTGTATGAGTATATTCATTGCTTGGTGTGTTTTGAAACTTTTTTGTTTCAAACTGTTTCAATCTTTTTACTCAGAATTTATAGAAAAATTTTAGGTACGCAATTTTATAAGTATAGCCCCTTTAATTACAGGAGGATATAATGCAAGTTTCAAGCAAATTTTTAGTCGTTGAGTTTTTATAATTTTTTTGCTGGAGGTGTCACGTATTTTTTCCATACAAAGTATGTTCGGCAATTTGTATGTGGAAGAAAATGCCCAGCATCGTTTAAAAAATTCCCAAAAATCAACGGTATTTTGTAATTGCATGAAACTTAATTTTACCCTACTTTAATATAATGGGCTATAAAACTGCGTACCTAAACTTTTTCTTAAAATACTGAGTAAAAAGTTGGAAATTTTGGAATTTTTTTTTGCATTTTTTAAATGCAGTTAATCATACATAAAATGAGGTAGTCTTTTATTCAAAAATTTAAATATTAAATAAAGAAAAGAAATATAGATTAAACTGGTTGAAATAAAGCGTTTCTGTTAATTCTGCCCTAGTAATATGAACTTTTTTAAGCCACACACATTTAATTACTGTCTTTTGTTTTGTTACTAATGAAATGGTTTTCAACTTACATAATAAAGTAGGTTTCAAACCAATTTATTTAATATTTCTTATATGGTAGGACAGCTTCTCAAACTATATTGATGAAATTTTTTCATGTTAAGTTGGAATATAATAATATCTAAATTGCGGGAAAATCCCGGGATCGCAAAAATCGAAAATATTAACATCCCTAGTATATACATACATATGTACATATCAGAGGTGGAACTATTCGTATATTTGGACATCCGATTGCATATTCATTTGGTTATCCGGATATTTCAAACAGTATTTGATCTCATTCGTAAAGTTGTTCTCAAAATTACTGAATCTATCGGGTTGCAAAATAAATAATAGAAGTGTTTAACATAAACAATTACTATTTCATTGTTCATTTTTAGATCCGGTTAATATCCGTTCACATTCGAATATTCGGATTT